ATCCATTATAAAAAATACTTTGTCTCTAAAAAGAAAAGTTAAGTGGCTTTTTGTTTCTCTAGCTATTATTTTGTTTTCTGTATCTTCTGTGATGTCTACCAGCCCTGAATCACGGCTCCTGATAGGGACCCATTTGTATCCTGTACATTTTTAAAAGAAGAAGAAAACGAAAAATTGATTTTTTATCAACTAGCGTTCTTTCTTTTCTTTTTAATGACCCAGCTCACACGTCTGGCCTGCCTTAGTCCTCAGAGAAGCTGGAGAAGTCTCCCTTGGAAGAGCCCAAGTGCCGGGGGTGGGAGGTGGTGCTAGCTGTTGGTTGTGGTCAAGTGGATTCCAGCTCCCGGCAGCCCACTGTGCTGCAGAATAGAACTGCTCCATGGACTTCCGAAGCTGTGAACCCGAACCGAACTCGAACAGTGCTGTTGGGCAGGCACTTGACTGCTGACCATAAGGTTAGGGGGCCAACCACCCCATGGGAGAAAGATAGGGCTGTCTGCTTCTGTAAAGACTTATAACCCGCAGCCACATAAGTGAGGAATCACTAAGTCTATGTGGAAGGATCACACCAGCTGTGTGATTCAAAGATGACAGTAACAAAATCCAAACATGACGAAGGGAAAAGTATCAGAGTTTAAATGGTGAACACCCAATTTGTAGAAGGCTAGAGAAGTCAGTGGGAGCCCAAAATCCATCTGCAGAGTATCTAGTCCGATTAAGCCTCTGACAGATGCCTGCTAGCCCCAGGAAAGGGTCTCGAACAGCTTGATTATCAGAGCATTGTAAATTTGGTTGTGCTGGATTGAACTTGATGTTGATCAGTTGACCTCCCTCTTGATCCAACCTGAATTTGTTCCAGGCTCAAGTATCTCTTGCTTGTTCCATGACAAAAATTTCTTCCCTGGCTTTTAAAATACTGACGGCGATCTTTCTTATACATTATTTGTATTTTTCTCTTTATCTCATTATTATTTTTTCCTTACCATTTTATTTTGTTTTGGTTTTATATTGTTTCTGTTGGATTTCCCAGTTTGTGAAGCACAGAAGGAGCAGATGCAGAGAGATACTAACTGGTGCAGTGGTTTATAGGGGATGTAAGGGTAAGGGGTGGGAGATAGGGAGGGTGAGGTGATTTGGGGAGCAAACAATGAATGCGGGAGGGGAAGGGAGCATTAGAATCTATTGTGATTATACAACTCATTTTAAAAGCAATTTAACCATGGAACCAAATGATGTGTGAATACTATATAACGAAAACAAACAAACAAACAAACCTGACCAATGGTGATCATAGGTGAAGGAGAAAGAGTTGTTGTGTAGGGACATTGAGTTCATGTGAATGGTGGTTGAATAATGTGGGAAAGGATATAAATAATGGTTGTACAACACCAAGAATATAATCAACAACCCTGAATGATAGAAGTTGTGGAACTAGAGAATGTTCTATTGTGCATATTTTTACCAAAATCGGGGTGGGGTGGGGGGATTACATGAATAACAATGACTACAGGGAAGAAGAGAATGTTCTAGAATTGAAAGATGACAATTGTACAACTCTTCTTGAAATGGCTGAATTATTGAATTGTATGACATGTGGAAAATGCTAACAAAACTATTTTTTTTTAAAGATTTATAGTCTCACAAAAGAGATTTCAGGGGAATGGGGAGCTAATAATAATGAGCACAGGAATGAAGCAAATGCTCTAAATTCAATTGTATTAATGATTGCATATGCTTTTAAATGTATTTAAACCAGTGGTTCTCAACCTGTGGGTTGCGACCCCTTTAGGGGTCCAACGACCCTTTCACAGGGTTCACCTGATTCATAGCAGTAGAAAAATTACAGTTATGAAGTAGCAACAAAAATAATTTTATGGTTGGGGTCACCACAACATGAGAAACTGTATTAAAGGGTTGAGGCATTAGGAAGGTTGAGAACCACTGATTTGAACCATTGAATCGTATGGTATATGCATTGCATGTCAATAAAACTGTTAACATTTTCTTAAATGATGGCCTCGCAACCCTATGTATGGGTCGCTGAGCTGGAGTGGACTCAACAGCAGTGGGTTTCGGGTCTTTCAAAGTACTTCTGGGTGGAATCAAACTGCCAACCTTTCAGTTAGTTGTTGAGCGATCAACCATGTGTGCCACCCAGGGACTCCCATGATGGTGGTGCTAGTCCTGATGGTGGTGAATTTATGTGAAATAAAGCGCAGCATGTTTTCTGATGGGGACTGGCAGGGATTTCTATCCCTTCTGCGAAGGGGATGAACAAAAGGGACTGTGAAACCAGCGAGCAAGGAAGGACTCTGTGAGAACCAGCTGGGTAAACCCCTTCACCTGGAAGGCAGGCCCCAGTGAAATCCTGCCACAGGATGACCTGCCGACCCAGGGCAGCAGCCCAGACAACACCCAAAGAAACAATGTATGAGGCCCAAGGACCCGCTGAGTTGGAAAGTTGCTTGACCATCTGCAGAGGGGCACCCCCTCCCTTTTGGAAGTGCCATATAAACACTAGAAGAGCTCCCCTAGACAAACTCCTCCTCTCAACTCACGAGGGGGAGCAAAGGTGCTTAAGATGACCCCTCTCACCTAGATGGAGGCTCCACTTTGACTGGAGCAAAGTGCATCTTATCTCTGCTTATGGTAGTCTTGCTCAACTTGGGCGAGGGAGCTACGTTATTTCTTGTGAAGTGACTGTGCATTCATAGACTGTGGCTGGTTGTGTGTGTGTGTGTGTGTGTGTGTGTGTACGTGGCTTATATCTCTGGACCCTAATCAACCACATGGGTGCAGAGCGTGCTAGTTCCCCCTTGGAAGACAGCCTGGGAACCCGAACTTCACATTTCCCACTATACTACTTTGTCTTCTTGAACTTGCTAATAAGTCCTACACTCTGGTAGTCTTCAACTTCTGTGTGTAAATACTCCTATCTTTATGGGAATTATAGGGCATGCACTTTAACAAGGATACTTGGTTTACAATGATAAAATGTGATACGGCCTTAATTTCACAGACATTTAACAAAGTTGAGATTGGAGTGGTTGGAAGGGCTGGGGGGAGGGGGGGGAGCATAGATAGAAGTTATCATTTTTTTCCCAAACCATTTTCGGTGGACACTCCATCCATTGTTCCTAATGAATTCCTCCAGCAGTTCTTTACGCTTCGAGTTAAGACACTCATCCCGCACTTATCGCCATTCTTTGGCATCTTTCCTGCTCTTTGATTCAGTTGGCATTGTAAGTCGAAACAGGACTGCTACTTTTTAAGTGTCTGTCTCCCGCTAAGGGCCTAGGTTCGAGCCTCAAGCAGTGCACTGGGGCAGATAGAGTATGTTTAGGGTATTTAACCAAATTGAATCGGAAACTTACCTCTTGGAAGGAATCCATTAGGTTTTCGGCATTTCTTTTCCCTCCAGGGCGCAAACCGTAGGACCAGTGTTGGCTGCAGCAGCCCACCACACAGAGAGCCAGCAAAAGAAGTCCTGCCAAGTGCTTTGGAATGAGCTCCATCCTAAGGAACATCAAGATAGACCCAGGCTGGGTTGAGTGCAAAAAAGGACAAAAAGCTTTGTATCCCTCACCTCACCGAAGCTGGAGGAGTCATTGAGGATCTCAGAGGACACTGAAAGACCAGTCCCTTGCACGCCGTGGTCCCCTAGCTAGGCGGCAGACGGAGCCCTGGGCTTTCAAGGCACATGTTTTAGTCTGAGTATTTGGGGGTAGGTGCTCGACAGTGTGTCAGTAATCAAAGCTCTGGCTTCATCCAACATGCCTATCAGAACAAAAACGATTGGACTTTTTATAGACAACTCTGCATTTAAGGTTTATAAAATCCTTGAGGCTAAATGCTCCGAACAGACCTGACATTGACAAAGCAGGCAACAAAATGACAGAGAAGAGGGTATCTTATGTGCAAAATAGTTTTAAAGTATTCAGACCCTTTTCCTCCTTTGAGTAGAGAATATTTCAAAGAATGTAAAAGAGAGATACTTAAAAAAATAATTTATATTTTGCAAAAGAAAAAACAAGTCTTCTACATCTAACCTGGTGATTTCTTCCTTATCAAGTTCACCTTTTTGCCTTACCATTTTCCCTCCTGTGGGTTTCCCACTGGATCATTCCTGAGGTTAGAAAATAAAAAACTGAGCCATCTGCTCTGAGAAGCAGCCTCTGCTGGACTCTGGCGAATGTAAAGTTCCTTGACATTAAGAGGCTACACGGCGATACTAATTACATCCTGCTGGGTATCTGTCCTCCAGTCTTCTAAGCATTACCGCTGGCTGGACCATCTGTGAGCGAGAGAGGCTTCCACACCGCCCCGAGCACACAGTCCCAGACCAGCTGCCTCCCTGGCCAAGGGGGCCTCGAATTATCTAATGAAATGTGGGATTCGCACAGAGAGTCTTCAAATGAATTTTCATTTGATGGGGAAAGAAGCTAAAGACAAAGTCAAATCTTGGTCAATGAGGGCTTATAGTTCCTCACAGGCTGGCTCTATCTGGCCGGTGGGGACAAGCACAGTGAAGGACAAGGTCCCTTCAGATAACATCTCTGAATTTAATCTTTGGGGTGTAGCATGCACTGTAGATATACAATATGATGCATTTCCACCCCCACATTTCCCCCCCCCCCAATTTTTTTTTAAATACTAGAACTACAAAGCATTTTACCTGTTTCGTTAAAGAGCCCAGAGAATCCCGAGCCTCCTTTGGTGTGGACGGAGTCCTGGTAATTCTCTTTTTCCCATCTTCCTTTTTATATGGAGTGTCCTAGGACACGGCAGTCTTTCCCGCTGGCAAATTATATTGGACATGGACTATTTTTTTTAATAGTAACATTTTTAATCCTCACATAAAGCCCTTTAATGGTGTTTGTAATTGGAACGGTCCCTGGTGTATCTGCTAAATGGACTTAAACCTAGCCATTAAAACCTCAGCTAAGACCTTTATAGCTGATGCCACCACTCGCGGAGATTAAAATCTCGCTCTTTTGGTTTCCCTTGAGGAAATTAGCGGACCAATCAAGAGTTGAGGGAAATTGATGTCTCAGATGAAGTGAGGTGAAGTGCCCACCTGCAAACGCTCGCCAGGGAGGCTGCTGAAATAAATAGAAACAAGTCGACCTGGGGTACCGCGGAGGGGGTTCCTGTTTTTAGGCCTCATTTATCATGTACGTATACACATATTGATCATTGAGTTGCCACCAGTTTTAAGATCTGATTTATAAATAATCACGACAAATGGACTATTGGCAATGCAGTCATGCACTAGGTGTGCAGTAGCCACTTGTCGGTGGCAGCGGACACACGGCTGTGATGCTGAGCCGATCTCAGTGGAGTTTTCACACGAAGAAAGGCCTGGTGATCTACTCCTGACCATCGATCTACAAACAATCATAGGGATGGGACAGGATCAGGCAAGGTTTCTTTTTCTCCTGTTGTACACGGGGTCACCATGAACCGGGGCTCCCCTAGATTACAACAACCAAGTTGTTGTTAAGTGCCATTGAGGCGGGCTATGTACGTAGCACGCTGTACTACAGAACCACACACTGCCCAGGCCTGGGCCGTCCTCATCATACATTTGAGCCCACCGTAACCAATTACTCAGAGATGTTTGTGGCTAGTCTCACTTTGAGGCATGCCCCATCAACGCATGAGGGTCTGAAGGCTTTACCCCATCGACATCATTATGGCCGACTTGACTTTGAAAAGGCAGCACTTCCGCAGGTATCGGGAGTGCCTTCCCACCCGCGCACCTCATCTGCTGCCACGCTCTCTGACAACGACCCGCTGGGACGCATCAGGTTTCCAGGGACTCGTTTCTCAGTTGTTCCTTTTTTAACACCAAGCCTATTTAGGTCCCTGAATGGAGAGTGAAGTTTGAAAATTCCTCAGTCTTCTATCCAAGTGTCTCTGCTTAAATTTTTCTGGAAAGCCTTTGATGGCATCCAAAACCGGAGACTAAGGGGTGGAGGTGGTGAGGGAAACATCCTGATTTGAATACTGTAGACTGAGAGTGATGCAGATGGTAAAGAGTTCAACCTCAGGCCCAGAGTTTGATGGTTTGAATCACCTAAGAGGCACCTCAGGAGCTAACCCCCTCCGATCTCCTTCCGAAAGGTCACAGCCTTCAAAACCCATGCTTGTCAATGCATTGAAATCAACTCCGTGGCAATTCACACGAGCAAGACTATCTGAAGCAGACGTAGGCCAATAGAACATGTCAGGTGTTTACTGAACACACAGTAATGAATGTAAAAGGGAAAATCTCTGTGCTAAGAGCTGTAGGAGAGCAGCAATGTGGCATGATGGCTGCATGGCATGTGACGATAACACCCGTTTCACACAGTTGAACTCCACAAAGTGGATGCCATTATACCTTCTATCGATATTCCATTGCAGCAGGGTGCCAGAAACGTTTGCACATCCCTGAGACTCAGTGTATGTGCTAAAAAAGAACTCGGTATTGTATTTATTTTAATACATGCCAAAGGGGCATACCACTCAGTTGTAAACCTCAACTGAAAAGCATCCAGCTAAAGCGCCATGGGTCAGCACATCCTGAATTAAGTGCCCAGAGGCACCCCAGTCCACACAAGCACTCAGCTTTACTTGCTCCATGGGCTGGGCAGTCCTTCCCTCCGGTCTGGGCTGTCTCCTGGTTCTCCTGCTGCTGCTCCTTCCATGTCACGGGTCTTCCCCTAACTCACCCGTGGGCTGTCATCCTGTTACAGTGAAGGATGGTAACTACAGAAGAATGTTATGAACATAAACTTCAAACTTTAATTGGTACCTTTTATTCTTTAACTCTCCTCATGCAAACAAATGGGAGTCGAAAAAATAAAACAGAAGTGATAGAATCCAATTATTTCATCTAAAAAGGTTATTTCTGTTAGTTGTGATTGTTGGGGGAAAATGCACTGAAATGTTAGATGAATATAGCAATCCAGTTTATAATTAATTTGATCTGCTTTACGTCCTCTAAGTCTGCATTAGCTTTAACTTGTTGCACAGATCTCAAAGGCCAAAGCCAAATGTCTTATTGTATCTTCTACAGCACCAAAAAGGCATTGAACAAATTTGTTCTGGTAGTTCCCAATTTAAGGGGCTCTGTTCCCAAGACTGTCATGCTGTGTAAGTAGAATGCCTCATTTTTAAAGGTTTTCATTATTATTGCCTTTTATTATTAGTATCTTAATGCATCTGATCCATAGGGGTTGGGTCTAAACTTAAAGATATATTTTAATGTGCACATTTAAACCATCACATCCATTAAAAAAAAGACGACTTTGACATTTTGTCAGCTGCATTAATTACTCCAATTGTGGAAGGTTGTGGACATCTGGATTATCCAAGGAATTCGTGAGAGCTGGCTATATGGTTCCTATATGCCCTATGATATTGTATGTAGTACATATCACTAATGATAAGACGTAAACCAAGTTATTAATAAAGCTTGTTGAGTGAAGTTCATATTTCAAAGACATCCTTAGTCAGGGACTACTTATAAGTAATTTGTTTTGTTTTTTAGTAACAAGCTTTGAACCCCATTACGATATCCAGGGATAAGTCAATTTACCAGGGAGTTACAGTTAATAAATTGAGCTTTAATAATTGGATTTTCTTCTGGAAAATTACAGCTCTAATGAAAATATTACTTCATGTTCACCATTAAAAGAAACCTTAGAATTATTAAAATGCAGCAATGATGGCTTAGCCACCTTTCTGAGTGGCAGATGAAAAGGATTCCTCTTGCCCTAATGTAAAATCTCAGCAGGAAGAAGTTGTGGTAAATGCTTGCTGACACATCTCACCAGCTTCCAGAGAATTAATCCTTGGGTAAGGTTCTTTATATAGAAAATAATGCAGCCACTTTCCTTTGTAGGGGCTCTGTTGTTTAATTAATTTTTCTTTTACTTCCTTAGAGATTGACTGAAGTTTTATAGCTTTTCATATAGTAGAGATGACATTAGAGACATAGTATAAACAATCTATAAAAACAAACAGCTGGGGAAAAGATCCCAAGTCTTGAATGTACAACATCATCTCTTACTATAATTTCCTCAAAATGTCACTGAAGTCAGTAGACTGCAATAGAGTATGACATGCATTGCTTGAGTCTGTTACTCAAGCCCTACAATTGACAGTCTTTTCCTCACCCTCCCCTCGTCAATTGGGTTCTCACCTATCAGTACGGATGCAGGGAGTAGGTTTGATCGGGGAGCTAATGGGAGTTTTACTCTTTCACAACTTCTTCCCAAAGTTTTCTTTCCTAGTTTCCCAGTGGACGACGTCTTCAGGGCAGTATATTTAAAACCAGCCTCATCAAGCTACTGGCAAATGTACACCAACTAAAGACTATCCTGGACAAATGAATTATTCCAAGGCAATCTTTTCTTAGGCTTAGAATGAACCAAGTTTGTTTGTGTGGGTAGCAGGGTACAATTTAAAAAGACGATCATGAAATGATCACGTTTAAAGAGGTTAGTTTACTTCCACGGCACTTTCTAAGAGACTAACCCAGAACAGGTGCCTTTCCTGTCGCCCCAGAACCTCACATTAGCAAAGTCTAGAAAGTGCTGATTTTTTTGCGAATGCAAAAGAAGAAACATTTTTAACATCTCATATAGTTTATTAATGCAATATACATTAGATCCAAAATCTTTATAGTTTCTAAGCACATCATGTTTGGATCTTCCAGATCTTTCTGCAGTCTTAAGTAAAGCCTACAGAGGTACTTTTAGGTGAATGAACAACATACTCTATAATTATTGAAAATATAGTACAGAATGAAATGATTTAAATATAATTTAGGCACATATTGATTATGAAAATAGATATCTCTCAATACAATACTTCTCTGTCTCAGTAAAAATAATAAAGCAAAGAAAATAATTCATTTCTAAAGTGGCTTTCCTTTCCCTGTAAAGGTCTGCTCTCTCTCCTCCCATTACGTGTGTGTGCTTTTTGCTGTGAAGGAAAGCTTTGCATATGTATGTACGCAAGAATCAAGTACACAATACGGAGGACCTGTCACTCTTCCCAAAGAGACGCAAGTGGTTCTTAATGATTCACTGCCTCCAACTGATTTGTAAAAGTCAGAACCAATTGGACTCAGCTTATGTCACTGCTCTTGGGGGTCTGCATAAGAACACTGGTTATACACTGCTGCTACAGAGAGGTAACTCAAGAAAACGGGCTAAAATTTATTTCCAAAAAAAAATACCGCCACACACACAAGACAGTGAAAAGAAAGTAAAAGAGTGGCAGGAGCTGACGGACAGGACATCTTGGGCCAGCCAACTACCGTTGTTTTGATTTGTATTTGTATGTACTTGGTGGCTACCACGGATGTGTCGGTTTCAACCCCTCGCTCTGCATCACCGGGCTTCCATTGTAAGTCTACTATGCTGACTTCCAAAGGTGACCTTGCCATGTCCATTCGTAGTTAACAGTTTTGATTGCGATGGATTTGAATTTAATACCTATTTTTAAGCTGACCCTGCTGAAGCGATTTGGCATTTGAATGAAATGAATATGAATGGCATACCTTGGATTTTTGGTATTGCGTCATCTTCATGTGCTTATTTGATTGTATATGAGACTGCTAACCTCGTAGTATAAACAGATACAATTGCCTAGTCTGGAGTTGAGTACAACTTGCTTAGAATGAAGGTTTGTTTTCCAATTGGGAGTGCTCTCTTCAAAGCTGTCCACTACAGCTGACTCTGGCACAGTATTGCTTTGAACTGCGCCAGCCCACTGACATGCTGCTCTTTCATCCTGGTGCTATTGCGGTGAGCTCCAGTCTCGAGTGTCTGTGTCAACGCTGAGTGCCACTCATCACCTTCACGTGAGCAGTTGTCTCTTGAGTTAATGGGAAGTGGGGGTGAGGGGCTATCAGTTCCTGGAGAGACGGGGCGCTTGCATGGCATCAGACGGTGTTTTAATCGGGAACTCAAAACACTGGGCAGGGAAAACATCTGAGTGGGGCTGTGCAGCTCAAACCCATGTTGTTCAAGGGTCCACTATTTATCTAAATGTTCCTCCACCTGGAGAGTCCCACTGCTCTTGCAGCATGAACAGTTTAATAATGCTGTCTTTCCTTCTACTCGGACTCTGTCGGGGAAGAAGGAGAGAGTGCTTGAACTCAGCTACTGTTTTGTCCTAAAAAGAAAGCAATAGAAAAAACGAACCTGAAAAGAGAGCCTTGGGGAGCGGTCTCACAAAATCCATGTGGGTTGACCAGTATTTAAAGTAGAGGAGGCATCACTAAAGCTATTTATAAACCTGAACCACTTTCTCCAAATTTTCATAACACTTAACAATTCAAATATCCATACTGCATCTAGAAACTCAATAAATATATTTGCATATGTTGGGTTTTCATAAATTAAAATCCTCAAATGCATTTCCAACCAAGATGGTATTTTTGTATCATGCTCCTTTAAAAGCAAATAGAATAGACACTATTCCTGGTCATAAAGCCAGGCAAACCCCTCTGCCCTACTCAAAAGGCAGCATAATCTAGATTCCCTACCTCTACCTCTGAGTGCTCCTCCTTTATAATCAGAATGTGGGGAGGGCACGGGAGGCGGGTGCCCCCTTATGCACCACAGAGAACAGGTCTCATCTTCTAAGTGTTTTCTAGTGCATTACAGTTCTTTCCTCTGGACCACTGCGTGGATGGAGAAAGAAAAGCGACAAGGACACAGTGTGCTATCTTGGCCATCTTCCTCCAGCCCCGGAAATCCTCATCTGACACTTTGGGACATATGCAGGGGCGTCAGCATCTCTTCAAATATGGCTCCCTTCACATTAGAACCTCTCAGGTTGGCTTCTTGCAGATCGCACCCAGACAGATCACAGTTCTGTAAGAGAAAACGGCATGCATGTGACTGACAACAGCCCTTCAAGCCACCCTAGGACTCCTGAGGCGCCTCCTCAGGAAAACGCCCTGCTGCAGTAAAACACGCCTTCCGGAGAGGTTCCTGCAGGTCTCCACTGAAGTTCCATTCCCTTGTGGATGCTCAGGCTAATCCATGTCAGCTACGGGAAAGATAGTCTGTCCCACCAGCTCCTACATTTCAGGATCTGGCATGTAAACCCCAGAGTGGTTCCCTTTGTAATAAATATTTTCTACACAATTTTACCACAGTTTCCAGCCAACAACAACAACAAAGACAAAAGTCTGAGAAAGGAAGAGACTGAGATATCTGGATGAAAGAGGACTGACAGAATCAATCAGTTGTATAATAGATTTCTTCACTCCCCAATGGTGATTAATATTCACTTAGAGGGAGCTTTTTTAAAAAAAAACTAGATTTAAGTGCATAACAGAAGGAGATTGGATAAATGTATTCAATAGTAAACTACCATGATTAATTTCTTTTGACATCAGAGTGTGAAATATGAGAATTGTGTCAAATTTGAAGGGCTTTAGGGGATGACGGTTAGAGAAAAGTGTGCTGGTACACAGTTTCAGGAGGGCAGAAGGCCACCAGCTGCCCTTCAATGGTCTACCTAACCTTTTTTATTGCAGAGAGCTGAAGAGAGCAAGGCTTCTGTTGCTTAAGAACTGTCTATATGGTAACTTGAGCCATGGCGAGAGTGGTGCTTCGACAGTCAACCATTAGGCTCAGAGCAGGCATATTCCTTCAGCCTTATGAAAGTCCTTTTTGCCTCTAAACGTAAAGGAGACCTGCTAGTCTGCTCAAGCGATAAAGGAAAAACTAAAAAAAATGAACAGCAGCATAAACAAATGTGGTGAAGAAGGCAGATGGTGCCTGGCTATCAAAAGATATAGCTTCTGGAGTCTTAAAGACTTGAAGATAAAGAAGCAGCTATCTAGCTGAGAAGCAACAGAGCCCACATGGAAGAAGCACACCAGCTTGTGTGATCATAAGGTATCAATGGGATCAGGTATCAGGCATCAAAGACCCAGAACAAAAAAATCATATCAATGTGAACGAGGGGGAGTGCAGAGTGGAGACACAATGTCTGATCTGTAGACAATTGGACACCCCCCTACAGAGGGATCACAAAGAAGAGACAAGCCAGTCAGGGTGCAGTATAGCACCGATGAAATATACAACTTTCCTCTAGTTCTTTAATGCTTCCTCCCCACTGCTATCATGACCCCAATTCTACCTTACAAATGCAGCTAGACCAGAGCATGTACACCGGTATAGACATGAACTGGAAACACAGGGAATCCAGAAAGATAAACCCCTCAAGACCAATAATGGGAATAGCGTGCCAGGAGGGGAAGGGGAAGGTGGGGAAGGAAGGAGGAACTGATCACAATGATCTACAAATAACCCCCTCCCAGGGGGACAGACAACAGAGGAGTGAGTGAAGGGAGACATCGGTCGGTGTAAGATGTGAAGAAAAATAACAATTTGTAGATTGCCAATGGTTCATGAGGGAGGAGGAAGAATGAGCTGATACCAGGGGCCCGAGTAGAGTGCGAGTATTTTGAAAATGATGATGGCAACATAGGTACAAAGGTGCTTGACACAATGGATGGATGTATGGATTGTGATAAAAGCTGTACGAGCCCCAATAAAATGATTTAAAAGAAAAAAAAAAGAACAGCAAATGGAAATTTGACAGACTATCTCTATACTGCAATCTGTGGCAGATTTGTCCTCTACCTGTGACTATTTCAACGTAATGAATTAAATGAATTAACATGGGAAATGCAGGTTCTCAGTTACAGGAGCTCAAAGTTTCATGGGCAAGTGACATGAAAAGATAATGGAATTTCTCCATGAACTCTGTGAAGCACTCTGGTGCATAGTGCCCTGAACAGCATGGATACAGGGCACACCCCCTGAAGCATAGGGCGATGCCAGAGAGGCCAGGTACAGACCCCTCACCAGCTCTTAAGTCTACTAGTGAGGTCTGCCAGTCTGGAAGACATACAGAATACAATTCTCATGAAAAACATGGCGTGACAAAGTTAAAATCTCAAGTTCAGATTCAAAATCAAAATGATGCCAACTTAGAATGTGCTTACTTGCTCTTGACCCTGATTTCAAACCTGAGTATCAAATTCCTCAGGCAACTTAAAGGAATAATCTGGCCCCAGGGAGGAAAATAATAAGCAAAAATTTCTTTCAGATTAAAATGTAAGAAAACTTCAATAGATTCAGTTAATAAAGCATCTGTCAGATTTGTTTACTTGAGAAAGACGAGAGAAGGAAAGAAAGGAAATCAATTTAGACTGTCAGATGAATCTTCACATCTGAAACTAGCATCGGTTAGCAGTTGTTACCTGGCAGTTTTCACCAGCCAACTACTGAATGCTTTTAAGAAAGTTTGTGCCAGAAACTCAACTTCCACAACCCTGAGACCAGCGAACTAGATGGTGTCCTCCTACCATTACCAACTGCACTGAAAGAGATGGCTTTAGAAGGTCCTGGAGACAAGTGGAGAAAAATGTGAACAATAAATAAAATCCTACAAAAGTCCAGGAACCCCCAGAGATGATGGCCCTTAATCATCCCTAAGATCTGGAACTAGGGTTACACCCCTCGCTGCTGGCCCCCAACTTAATTTTCAGCCAAACAACAGAGAGGTCTACTATCAGGTAAATAACAACAGTAGGAAAGTAGGCTCGTCTCAGAATAACCAACCATTGGAGATCAAAAGAGGAGCACTGGCCCCAGGGCAATGGTCAAAAGGCAGGATGGGTTGGTAGAGGAGGGGGACTGGATTTCGGAAACATTGGGAGAAGTGGGATGAGTGATGGGACATCGTGGAGAATATGTATGAATTACTGAATGGAAAACTGATCTGCCTGTAGGCCTTCATCCAATGCACAATGAAAAGGAAAACGAAGTCAATAAAGTACAAAAGAGACAGTAATTCTTGGTTAACACAGACCCACCTCTAAATCAGTTCCTGCCAGGGTTGCTCCTCTCAGGTTGCAGTTCTTCAACTTGGCATTTTTCAGTGTAGCCACTCGAAGGTTAATTCCCGTCATCTGGCTTCCTTCCATGTCCACACCTTTCAGATTAGCCCCTAAAGTGAACAACAAGTGGGGTCCTGACACTGCCAGGTGACCTGATGGCAGTGAAAGCTGCCAGCCTCCTTTTCCTTCTGGAAATGTCATCTGTGAACTACACATCTCAGCCTCTCAACCAACTTTCAGTCTCAGTGCTTATATATACAAACATATATAAATAATTATTTGTAAACTTGTCTGAGACCAGTTTTAGTATGCAAATGAAGAATGTTTTAGAATATCTTCTAGAGGGGAGAGAATTATAACATGTCTCTAACGTTTATGACAAAGGAGAGAATCCTATGTCTCCTAAATATACAAGTAAACAAAGTGACCAGTCCACAGACACACAAAGCAATAATGAATTCATAAACAAAACATTAAGTCTAAAGATGACAAAAATGGCCTGGCTTTGTGCAGGCCTTTTGGTTAGCATAAAAATACTGTGTTCTACTGGAAAGCTGAAGAACGTTGGTAATTAATTCTCCAACCAAGGCCTCATTAACTACAATAGGCTGGATTTCCTCTTAGTCCTCAGGCTGATTAGCAGACGACCAAACAGAGGCATCTTACACCTACACAAATTCTCCAAGTATGACGGCAGAAGAACCCTACCCCTACAGTTCCCCTGCTTTACCCTGAGCACTGAACACTGGGCGCTCGGCTTTAGGGGTGTGCCCACCAGAGAACAGGCGATTGTAGACAGGGTCTCACCTTCTAAATTGGCTTTAAGACCAGAGGGATCCTCAAAATTACACAGTTTCAGGGATGCTCCCTCAGCGTTAGAACAGAGCATCTTGACCCCCTGGAGATTTGCACACTGGCAAAGAAAAAAGAAAAGTCCATGTTTTAAGGTCTAGAAATTGGTTTGGATAAGAAAAACTTGGCTCAATCAGTAAAAAAAAAAAGTTTTCTATTCAACACACTCACAAACTGACTTCCTACTCAATGCCAAAGAAGTGAGAACTGTTATAAAGACACAGTTCTTACCGACTGGTTTAAACATGCCCAATCAATGAGAGCATGGCCACTTCATAGGAAACATAAGGGTTTAGATAAAGAAGTTAGGGGGAGTCAGTACTAGGACACCCTGAATTTTATTTTATAAACAGCCCTGAGCAAAATAATATGATGGTCAAAGTGTATGGAGAAGGAGGGCATGAACTTGTACCGGGGCTGGATTTTTTCTTCCTTATTCTAAATGGAGGACTTAACAATTAAATCTGTGATGTTCCAAGATGCTACTATCACCTTCATTTCAAAGAAAGTCGAAATCCAGTTGCTAGCAATAAAAGGCATCATCTAGGTACAAAATAAATCTTTTCGTACCAGTGACTGCTATACAACATGGCCAGTCTTGAGCACCCCCATCAGTATGAATGCTGAAAAACAGTGTGGCACACACATGGATCACTGAGCAGGGAGAGCAATTGAGAGAGTCTCTTGGCTTGTAACAGAATTGGATGGTGCTCATGGCAATGATCTCGTGGTCTGTGAGGGAATGATCCAAAGCCATAAAGTGGGTACGAAATAAAAAAAGAATAGTGGAATCATTCGATGCGTCCTGTGGCAACATGCGCTACATTCTTCAGACACTGCAGTGTATCAGGTTACTACTCAGCAGCCACCTTCCCATAGCAGGGCAAACGAAAATTAGGTGTGATTCTCACAGCCAACACGATAATTCTTCAATGTGAGGCATTTTTACTATTAATACTTCATCTCTTAATTTTATAGTTTTATCAAGGATTTATATATAGGATTTCACATTACTTGGATTCACAATCAATGCCCATGGAAGCAGCAGTCAAGAAACAAATGGCATATTGCAATGGGCCAATCTGATGCAAAAGAACTCCTCTTTAAGAAAGTGTTAAACATTGAGAAAGCAAAGAGGGAACCCTGAGGACTAAGGTGGGCTCGATCCAAGCCATGATCTTTTCAATCGGCTCATATGCATGTAAAAGCTCGACAAAGAATAAGGAAGTCCAAAGAAGAATTGAATTTTGCCATTGAATTTTGGTCTTGGCCCAGAATAGTGAATGACTGTGGGCTGCCCAAAGGATGAACAAATCTTTCTTGGAAGAAGTACAGCCAAATGTGTCTTAGAAGCCAGACTGGTGAGCGTGCATCTCAAATACTTTGGGCATGCTACCAGAAGAACCAGCCCTTGGAGAAGGACATCCCGCTTAGCAGAGGGCCAGAGAGAAAGAAGGAGACCCTCAACTGACAACGTGGTGGCAACAACAGACTCAAAGACAGCAATGGCTGTGAGGATGGCACAGGGCTCAGGCAGGGCTTTGCTCTGTCATACACAAGGACGCTATGAGCTGAGCTCACTGGATGGCACCTACCCACGTGTCACTTAACGTCCCGGGTTTGTTCCATGAAATAGATCCTTTTATGATTTGGAAGTTGTGCAAACATTGTGTTAGAACCTTATGGGAGCCTGGTTTTGGATGGCCTTGGTGCTGCTGCCGCCACTGCTGGTGGAGATTAGGGGAACAAGTGGTGCAGCAGGGGTGACCAAGAGGGCGGATGCAAAAGTGGACCAAGAGGAAAAGAGTGAGGAAGAAGCAGTATTAACCAAAACCCACTGCCGATGAATCGAGTGTAACTCACAATGACCCTCTGGAGGGTTTCTGAGAATAAATCTTCATGGGAGCAGACAGCAGCATCTTTTTCTGGCAAGTTGCATGTTGGATTTGAACCACCAACCTTGCAGTTAGCAATACAACATATAACCCACAATGCTACCAGGGCTCTTTAGGTTCTGTATTAGACATTGTTAACTTAAAAGGCATACAGATACAGGCCTTGCCACTAAGGACCTTAAAGTTGTTAGGAACTAATGCATTTCAATGGTGTTGCTGTTTACATCCTCTAGTACCAGAAAACTTCCATAACATAAAGACATACATAGACAGACATACCTATGCATATAAATATATACATGTAGACATATACATATTCAGAAAGGGAGGAGGCCATGGAGATGCTAACCCTATAGATTGAGGTCATACCATGCTCATTTCAAAATATCTCTGTCAATACCTCTATAGCAGTAACAGTTTCCCATTCCTGATACAAGGCTGAACAGAAGATTTCAAAGGCCTCTTTTTAGCTTTACCTTATAATTCACTGAAAACAGATAATTTGATAAATAAAATATACTCTATTGAGGAGCATATGATCTATTTTCAAGATTAATTTCCTATTAGGTGGCATCAGTTCTATGTTTAATAAAGGCTATCTAACTATTAAAACTGACCTAATTCACATTCAGAAACTTCAGTTTTATAATCAACTTACTAAGTCATCTTTTAAAGTACAAGCTCCAGTAGGAGATAAAATTCCTCCTCTGTTAAACTTTTCAATAGATTAAAAATCTAGTTTTCTCTTTTAATTCAAAGTGATTCTTACGTCAAGCACTGATCCAGAGAGATCGGCTCGTTCAAGATTGGCAAAGCAGAGATTAGCATGCGCGAGATTGCAACGGCTTAAATTGGCCATTTTGAAGTTAATGTATCGAAGGTCCAAACGAGAAAGATCAGCACCACTGAAGTTTAAACCCTAAAATTAAAAAACACAAATTGTCACAATACTTAAACCGCCTGAGTGTATTAAATTCAATTACTATAACTAACCATCAAGTTTTTTTTAGATGCAATTGGCAGTTCAGTCAATTGGAGTTTATTACAAAACATAATCAAATGGAACTTAGATACATAAAATAAGCAGATGTAATGGATTCCTGGCAAAAGAAACTTTATATATAAAAGGGACTTCCAAAAGCTTGTTGAAAAGTGGCTTCAAAACATTCAGGGCTTTTCTCCTGAATGTTGAAGACAGCTTGTATATATAACCCCCTTAGAATGTAGCCTGGCTACATGTGCCCAAGTTTCTAAAGAAAAATATCTGTTAGTGACCTAACCACTGATAAACATTACTTTAGGTAAAACTGAATACACTTATTTTATTAATGCAATAATTCAAGATCATTTTATTTAAAAAAAATCAGTATTTTGGTTTTAAGAATCCTTAATGTGGGCGAGCCAGCCAGGGTGCAGTATAGCACCATTGAAACATACAATATTCCTCTAGTTCTTTAAAGCTTCCTTCCCCCCACTATCATAACCCCAATTCTACCTTACAAATCTGGCTAGACAGGAGCACGTACACTGGTACAGATGTGAACTCTCAACACACGGAACCCAGGACAGATAAACCCCTCAGGACTAATAATGGGAGTAGTGATACCATGTGAGTAGGGGGAGGGTGGGGGGAGAAAGGGGGTACCAATCACACTGATTGACGTATAACACACCCCCACCCTCACCCAGAGTGACGAACAACAGAAACATGGGTGCAGGGAGACAGTAGTTGGTGTAAGATATGAAAATAATAATTTATAAATTATCAAGGATTCTTAAGGGAGAGGGAGTAGGGATAGGAGGAAAAAAATGAGGAGCTGATGCTAAGGGCTCAAGTAGAAAGAAAATGTTTTGAAAAGGATGATGGCAACATATGTACAAATGTGCCTGACACAATGGCTATATGGATTGTTATAAGAGCTGTTAAGAGGCTCCAATAAAATGATTTCTTTTAAAAAGCCTTAAAACATATAAAAGTATCTGCCATCGACTAGCCATACACAGCAACTATACAAATAATTTGAGTTTTTTGAATTGCAGCAATTTCCACAAATAATTCCAAAAATGCTACTTGAGACACAGACAATAAAAAAGGCCGCTTTCGGGCTCTTTTCAGATTAAATGAATGTTATTGCCCATAATTAAATGACATCTTAGATGAGAAAGAAAAATAAAGCTAAACAACATGAAAAATAAAGCCTCATAAAATAAAACCCAAGAAGAATATAAAACATAGCTCTCAGATTTTCCGATAAAAATAAGCCATGCAACAAGGCTGCTTTAACTACCTGGCATCGTAATTCCGACTTGGTTGGAGTAGCTAGCAGAAACCGTACAAATTCCTTCCGGGATATCGGTGAGTGATCCTCTGGTGGTTGAGAGTTCTTGGGAAGGAGAATCAGAAGTTAGTGGGCACTTTGGGAGAGAGCCACAATGAATGCAGTATTTAGTCAGGTAGGAAGAGCTTCACCTTTATTGCCACTTCTAGGTGCTCAATCAACGAGTCAATCCCAAAGAACCTGGCTTCTTCTAGCACACCTGTCCGGACAAAATGATGTGACATTGACAGACAACCCTTCACTTCAGTATTTAGAACATTATAGATGCTTCATTTCCATAACGGAACGGAACTGGACTAGATCATCGTCAGCATCCAGGATAGGTGGCTCACAATTAGGACAGTCATCAACGCAACTACTGGCTGCGGTGGAGTCGATCCCAACTCAAAGCAACCCCGCACAACAGAGCAGACGACTCCTATGGGTTTCAGAGACGTGACGTCGTCCCAGGAGTAGACAGCCTCCTCCTCCTGCCCCCAGGAGCCGCTGGAGCATTCAAATCGCTGACCTCTGGTCAGCAGCTCACTTGGTAGCCCACTACGCCACCCGGGCTCCTCAAGGCCACACAGAATATTTGAAAATATGTGAAAAGGAGAGGCATTTCTCTATCTTACATACTGTAAACGGTAAGAAAAGTAAGCTAATGAATTAGAAAGAAAGAAACCTTTCCATATTTCAAAATTATTTCTAGTAATTACTTTCAATAGGCCACAGGCAAGAAATCCTAACATCACATATCATAATACAGTTGGCTTAGTGATTTGATTGAGAAGCCAATAAAGATGATTAGCTAATTTAATCTTAACATTTCATTGACTTTTTAATGGAGCAGATCTGAATAAATTTGTCACAGAAGCTAGCTTCACGATAAATATCAAAAGTGTATTTCAGAAAGCTCATATAGGAAAAATCAGTTTCAAAAAAATTTTAGATAACAAAAAGGGATTTCTTATCATTAACTTTGTCAAATCAGGGGGAAACATCTCCACATAACTTGCTTCCTCCTATCCGCCAATACACATTTCCATCAGAGCATAGGGAAATAGGAGGGGCACAAAATGGAACAAAGCTCTGCTGGTGTGAGGGAGATGGTGCATTTGGAGTTCGTCCCACCAGGTCAGATTGTTACTCCAGCCTTTTATTATGAGGTTCTTAAAAGACTGCATAACAGTGTGTGACAAAAAAGGCCAGATTTGTGGCAGCCAGGGGATTGGTTTTGCCACAACAATGTCCCTGCTCACACAGCCATCTCAGTGCGCCAGTGTCTGGCAAACAACAGTGTGTCTCCCTTGCCCCATGCACCTTAGAGTGACTGCTTTTTGTTTATGCGAATGAAGAGGGACATGAAAGGACAAGGATTTGACGATGTAGAACAGGTGAAGAACAAAACAATGGGCGTGCTGTCAGCCATCCAAACAGATGAGTTTGAAAAATGTTTCCAAGAATGGAATTGCAGATTTGACAAATGTATTAAGTGAAATGGAGAGTATTTTGAAGGTGATAAGGTTGTTTTGTAAAAAAATTTAAATACATCGCTTTGGGGATGGGGGAAATTGCGGTTTCTTTTTTGGCTGTGGGGTGGGGCTAACCCCACATATGTTTTCTGATTCATAGACGATTATCAAATGGGTTCAGAAACATGTCAGCTTCAGGGAAATATGTACTGAACTGAGAGAAAAGTACTTAACAGGAAAGCTGATGATGAGGGGATCTTACTGGAGGGTAGGCAGTAGATGACATGAGTCAGGGGAGAGGGCTTTGCAGACAAGAAGAGAGGAAGGACATGGCTGAAGGGAAACCGTGAAGATCATTAAGCAGAGAACAAAAGGAAATTAAGAAGGTAAATTTGAAAAGTCACTGATGAGAGCACAAATTAGGGAGAGCAAGAAATAAGGTCATTTATGTAAGTGAGAAGAAGGGGAAGCCAATGTTTGTAGATTATTTTTAAGTACATAATTAGTTGGGCCAACTTGTAGTCAATGTAGAGAGGTTGGATGGAAAGTGCACTTATTAAAGCAATGCTTTATCGGATGAACCCAGTAGAGAGCTCTGCTTCCTGAACAACAGGATAAATGAGGTAAATGTTGGGAGAAAACCACAAGGAAAACAAACAGGGTTCCGTAATAGCCCACGATGCAAAAGACTGTGAGAATGCGGCTATATATTTGTAATGTTACTTTCCAGAAACGGGGGATATGAAGTGTTATAAATGACCCAAGGTAAAATTAAAACAGAAAGAATGAAAGAGCTAAATGAAGTACATATTGATGGGGTTTTTTCAAAAAATAAGCTTTTAATGTGAATTACGTGTGTGGGGGGGGTGGGGCGGGGTGGTATTTACATTTCAGACCATCAACTCTGCATTCAACAGTTCAACCCACTCATCAATGCGATACATATTCACAGTTACGTGGTTACAGGACTTCCAGAGCCGAGGCTTAAACGTGATGTAGCAGTTATTGCTGTGAGGGGTTCTAGCTGGTTCCAACCCATAGCACCCTCTGCACACAGAAGGAAATACTTACTGCCCAGTCCTGCGCCATCCTCACAATTGTTCCCGTGTAACTGAGCCCATTAAAGTGATTTAGGTACTGAAATAAAAAGATCTGTACCAGAGTAGATTTTTTTTCCCCCAGAATTACCAACAAAACAAAGGTTACGGAGGGCTTATCAGACAAGTGGTATGAAGTAAAAGAAGAAAAGAAGACACAAGAACGTGATGAGCTGGCTGAAAGGGCATGTTGTTTTTGCAGCTGATAAGCTTGAAAGGGAACCTACGTTGAGCACAAGAGCGAAAGCTCTGGAGTGTTTTATATGCCACGACAGAGCCTGTAAAGTAGCCCCCGCTGGCTGACTCTGGGGTCTTGGGCATGCGGTATCTTCAAAATCAGAAAATATCATTTAACGTTTTAGATTTACAGCTTTTCTTTGAAACCCAAGGTTCTGGCACTCGACTTCCACATCCGCCCTGGTGGAAACCTGCGAAGGCTGAGTAAGGGTGTGTGCATGGAAGTTGCCACACTCCCTACCACCTGTCCAGGGGTCGGTATCAGACAGGCCAGTCACTTGGAGACCTACTCGCTTTTGAGTATGCAACCGATGCCTGCTAAGGATGTGCATCCAGCTCCCCTCCATGGATTATCATAAAAATGAGGGATAAGAGTATTTTAACATCCACTTTTCAAGAGACTCAGAGATAAAGTGATTTTCATAAAGCTGAACATCTATTCCTCATAGTCAAGACGAGAATCCAGTTTTATGATTTAAATGGATGGTTCCCCCTTTTGAATACTACTTAACATAATAAAAACCAAACCAAAGACTTCCCACTGAGTCAATGCTGACTCATAGCAACCCTACAGGACAGGGCGTGATTCTTTAAGGGAGCGGAGCCCATCTTTCCCCCGACAAGTAATGGCGGCAGTTTCAACCTGCGGCCCTGTGGTTAGCAGAGCAGCGAGTACCACCGTGCCCCAGAGCTCCTTCCTCAACATAACAGGAAGGTCCATAATCGAAGCCGGGTCACAGCCACCTTGTATTTAAAGTAAACAAAACCCTTTACAATCCCTGGTGATGCAATATACATCTACTTAGAAACTAAAATGAAAATGTATAGTGTAGGTGCCTACCTATATATGCAAAGATATATCTCGGTACCTATATTGATTTCTATCGCTATAGCTACTCATATATAAAGCATCTACTTTAAAAAACGAAAAAGATATGCTTCTACTTTAAGAAAATAATTTACACAACCAGGTAAGGGAAAACAAACCCCAAACGCTAGGCTTACAAAAGTATGAGGAACATTATCGAAAACTCACCTAATAAATTTATGCCATCATTTACAATGAGCTGCCCATGTCGCAGGTAGTTCAAGATGGGTTCAAAGTACTCAGGACTTCGGTCGATTAAGAAAGCTCCTCTGTGATCTTGCTTATTTCCCCAGACGTCTGTGTCACCATTGAAATGAACAAAGCCCCCACAAACAGAAGTCTCAGTTAGAAATTTAGGGAATGAAGGTTTGGTACGTTTTCCCTCTTGTAAAAATGATACAAGGGCAGCAGTTTCACAAAGCCGTTCCCGACACAGATGCACCGTGTAAGATAGGACAACGAGGCGCCCCACTCACCTTTGTCCTTAAACATGTTGGCCAGCATGCTGCTCGGTTCTTTATTCACTAAAGTGCTCCTAAGAATTCAGAGGGAAAAACGGATTTCTCCATTTGTCTTTCTAAAGAAACATATTTAAGTCAAGAGTCTACTCGACCCCGGCTGCTCTCAAACAGATGCATGCTAGAACCTGGCAGGAGCAATGCTGGGGAACAAAAACGTGCAGTAAGTTGCCATTTCTCAAAATCCCGTCTAATCTGGCACTTCCTGACTTAAATCCTGGCTCAGCTTCCTTTCCTTTCAATACAAATATACCCTGCCAGCAAACTGTTATATTAAAATATTCTTGATCTTCATATACTGTTATATCAGCCTCTGCACGTTTCAATATTGCTGATTTTAGCTTGTGTGTGTATATACTTCTTGATGTATAAAGAGCTGGTTCTGAAGCACTGAAGGAATGCATGCTTTCCATGCTTTCGCTGGAATGAATGCCTTATAAACCATATTTTTTCTTTAAAAAAAAAAAAGAATCTTTCTAAAAGTAGCTTCAGATCGCATTATCTATTGAAGCAGTATTTGAACCTCTTTTAAGGAAACTGGTGACTTGAAGGTGTTTTTCTTTAACACACACACATGCACACACAAACCCTACCGTGTAGTTGTAAAGTACCGCCCTCCAACATTTAATGTTAGCCAGTCTGTGTGGGATCCTGTCAGTCCTTCAGGTGGTTTAGAGTCTGTCTGAGGATCTAGAGATAACATACAGAAAAAAATAAAAATATCAAGATGAGGGATTCAGGGAAATGGAAATGGTGAAACAATTTAAACTACATACATAAAACCACACCATAACTACTCAAAACCAAACCAAACTCATTGCCACTGAGTCGATGCAGACCCCTAGTGAATTTACAGGACAGGGGAGAACTGCCCTGTGGGTGTCTGAGACTGTAGCTCTCTAGGGGAGTCCATAGCCTTGTCCTTAGCCCATAAAATGCCTGGTGGTTTCAACTGCTGACCTTGTGGAGAAATGGTTAAGTCCATGTCTGTGATAATAAAAAGCACAAGATGAACACTTACGAATCAGAAATCTCTCCCTAAGTAATTCCTTGGGGATTCAGAACAAACATACTTATAACTTAATGCTTTAGGGCAGAGGGTCCTAAGGCAAACCCCTAGGAGGTTAAGGCCTGAGCTTTGCTTGTTTTGTTTATATGTTTGCAAGGAACCCATTGAGTGTCCTGTTGACTGCCAGCCACTGTGTTAGGCCAATGACTAAAATCCGACGAGGAAACATTTTTACAGCAGAGACAGACAAAGGCATGCACTTGCTTCTAAGTTAGTCTGTGTAATGATTCTAAGAACAATCTCCACTCACCAAATACAATTCTGTGACAGAAAGAAAAATCCTTCAGTAAATATTCAGAATATGACTGTGTGCAAACTAAATAAATTGTTTTTAATTGTTTTTAGTTTTGAGATACAGGAGGGTAAAAACTTTCTTTCAAATAAAAAAGCAATTTTTATGTTTGACTCAAGTCATTTTTAGGACTGATTTGATTATATCTCTGAAGGACGGTCAAACAATGTCAGAAATACAAGCTTAAAAATGACTTTTAAAAGGACTGCTACAAAACCATAGACTTTTATTACACAAAAATATCAACAGGTTTCCCCCAACATATCCTCCTCTGAGGACTATGCACCTTTGAAGGCAGTGTCTCTACCTCCGTCACCTTTGCCCAGGGAATTCCGCACTCTCCACTTGATGTCACATCAAAGTGGCCCTCCCTTTCAGCGTCCGCCAAGGACCCAAGTCATGATCCGTACAAGATTCTTACCGTTTGGGGAATAAAAGTGGGTCTGAAGGGGCAAGATCAGGGCTGTAAGGTTTCCCAATGAAATTCTCACAGGACAGCCTTGCTGTCCTCAAACATTGAGCAGGTGGATTGTGATGGAAAAAAATCCTTGGTGCAAATTTCCCAGCCTTTTTCTCACAATGCAATTTAGAATTTTTCCTAATAAGCTCTCGTGACCTTTGGGAAAATTTATCAAGGTTAACCCTTTGGAATTCACAAGACAACTGTTCCCATAATTTCCAGATTACCTGTCTCGGAAGCCACTGTTTTGATTGGACTTTGCTCTCTGGATTGAACTGGAAATTCACTGACCGGTCCTTGGTTACCATTCATTCCATAAAAGTGTCTTTATTAGGATCAGTTTTGCATACAAGACTGATGAAAAGATCAGCTCTTTGATCTTCAGGCAATTCTTTTGCATTGATGGGAACCAAGTTCACTGCTGTCAAGATGTTCATATAAAACTGAAAATGCAGAAAGCTACTGCATCAATGAGAATTCTACAATCTTCTTCCACTAGTTTGTTGGTTGATGGGCTTCCTTCTCTTGGCCCATCTTTGAGGTCCTTATTAATGAGGTCCTTCATTAACACTTAAACCCATCTAAGATTTTCTTTGTGAGGCAGTGTGTTAGGCCAGGTTAACCAGAGAAACAAATCCAGTGACACTTATATATGTAAAAGGAAGAGTTACACATCAAGAAAACATTCTAGCCCAGTCCAATTCAAGTTCATAATTCTCATACTACTCCCTAAGGCCCTCTTCAGACTCACACAGTCACATGCAGTGATTCAGACTGCAGGAATATCACAGGCAAGCAAAGTTGTGTGGATCTGAGGTCAGTGGAAACCATGGCAGGGCTTCACTAGCTCTCAGGGTAGCCAGCAAGCAGGAAGATGAAGGCAGAGAGAGAAAGAGAGAGGGAGGGAGGAGGAGGGAGAGGAGGGGAGAGAGAGAGAGAGAGAGAAAAGCCTCCAGAGAGCTTCAGTCTCACCTCCAAGGGAGGTCATCCCACTGTGGTTTGATTGGCAGGCTAAGTTTCACCCCTACACTTTTATGTATTTTCAAGTTGACATGAAATTACTTAACTACCACAGGCAACACTCCTGTAAAGTTGTTGCAAAGCTTCAATGGCTTGAGAAGATGTCCAATTGAGTTGTTAAAAACTTAGTATCAACCATACGCTCAAAACCATGTAACCCCTGCCCCCTCATAACACAAAAAGTATCTTTTTGGGGGGTGGGAGAGGTGGGGGGAAGAATCCTTAAGGAAACTAAAGCCCTACTATTACTGAGTTGATTCTGATGCATAGCAAAGCTACCTAGACTCTTTGAGACTGTAAATCTTTTTTTTTCCTCTCGTTTTATTAGGGGCTCATACAACTCTTATCACAATCCGTACATACATCAATTGTGTAAAGCACATTTGTACATTCATTGCCCTCATCACTCTCAAAACATTTGCTCTCCACCTAAGCCCCTGGCATCAGCTCCTCATTTTTTCCTCTCCCTCCCCACTTCCCCCTCCCTCATGAACCCTTAATAATTTATAAATTATTATTCTGTCATATCTTGCCCTGTCCGACATCTCTTCACCCACTTTTCTGTTGTCCACCACCCAGGGAGAAGGTTATATGTAGATGCTTGCAATTGGTTCCCTCTTTCCAACTCACCCTCCCTCCACCCTCCCAGTATTGCCACTCACACCACTGGTCCTGAAAGGATCATCCGCCCTGGAATCCCTGTGTTTCCAGTTCCTATCTGTACCAGTGTACACCCTCTGGTCTAGCCAGACTTGCAAGGTAGAATTGGGATCATGATAGTGCGGGGGGAGGAAGCATTTAGAAACTAGAGGAAAGTTGTATGTTTCATCGTTGCTACGCTGCACCCTGGCTGACTCGTCTCCTCTCTGAGACCCTTCTGTAAGGGGATCTCCAGTGAAGGCTGTAAATCTTTATAAGGTTTGACAGCCTCATCTTTCTCCTACAACAAGACTAAGACAAGTGTATTATTGAGAGAACTTCTCTACAGCCATCCACTGATCACAGAGATAAGTTTAAACATGTATTATCTGAAACCAATCCATGCATGTATGTGCTGGAGCCCAGTAGCAATACTTTTCGACTTATCTTTGTAATAAAACATTTTGGGAAATTTTGACAACTAGTATTAAAGAGAAAAAAAAAATTTTAAAGCCAGCTGTATTTTCTAAAACCCAAACTATCCTATCATGTCATATTTAACAAATATGTATACAGCATTTTAAAGACCTGTAAAAGACAAAGTATCCATGCTAAAAAGAAAACAAAACAAAAAAAACAACAACCAAAAAACTCCAGCTCCCTGCCCTGGACTCGAGTCTGACTCCCAGCGACCCGCAGCACATAGCAGAGCTACCCGGGGAGTTTCCAGGATGGTAAATCTGGGAGGAGAAAGCTTCATCTCTCTCTTACAGAGTGGTTTGGAGTTTTGAACCAATGTGTAGCCCATTATACCCATTATGCCATTATAATCATACAATATGAATAAAGTTTTTTAAATACACACCCAATAGAAAATTAAGAGAAGTGTGAATATATAAGTTACTGCCACAATGTTAGGTTAAACCTTTGAAATGTTAGGTTAAACCACCCATGTAGTTATCATTTCATCTTTTTTTTTTCAATAGATTTATTGGCACATAATTCAGATATCAAACAATGCCAAGGTTCAATCACATCAAGAAGACTTTTACAAAAATCACCAGTTGTTTTTTTTTAATCTTTTAAACCTTTACCATCTTTTTTAACAATTTCTGGAGATTTTAATTTCTTTTTTTTAAACATTTTATTAGGGGCTCATACAACTGTTATCCCAATCCATACACACTCAATTGTGTAAAGCGCATTTGTACATCATTCTCAAAACATTTTCTCTCCA